GTGACAGGGACAAATCTCGTTCTTACATTCATTTTCTGAGTTCCCCTCTCTACATTAGAGTTAGCAGTTTCGTTGGTGAAAGCAAATTATGAGAATTGCAAACTATGTAAGTTTATAGAATTTGTCTTTACAAATTTTAAATTAGCCGGGCGGGGGTGAAGCATGCCTTTAATCCCAGCATTTGGGAGGTAGAGGCAGGGGGATCTCTGTGAGTTTGAGACCAGCCTGGATTACAGAGTGAGATCCAGGGCAGCCAAGGCTACACAGAGAAACTCTGTCTCAAAAACAACAAACAAACAAACAAAAAAGAAATTTTAAATTAAGTCACTCTTGACCTAAGCTGGAATGGAAAAAAGAAATGTCTTTAAGAAAAGCACAAGCTGTAAGCTTAAGAAAAAGACGTGAAGAGTGGAAGTAGCCGAAGCTGTGGTGCTTGAGGAACTGTCCTCTTTGTAGAGTGCTGGGATCTGGACACGGAGGTGAGAACTGCATTGCTAAGTAAGACAGTGAGGACTGCTTCATTCCTTACAGTGGGGAAGATGGCTGAGTGTGCGGAGGAGGCTAGACACCACAGATTTTAGTCTGTAACCTTTACCCTAAAGAGATGCCGTCAGCAAATGAATCAGTGTCCTCCTTTCAGATCTCGAGCACCTGAGTAAGGAAACCAACCCTGAGGTCACAGGACGCTCAAGAAAATGTCAAAAGCGTGTATTAAAAGTTCTTACTCTTTTACTCAGTCGTGTTTGTTGGTCTTTGCTTAGTTTAAGGCTATTAAAAAGTTTTGCTGGGCATCAAAATCTACATAAAGGCTTTTCTTTTTGTACTTTTTAAAATAAAGGTCTCCATTTCTAAAAGCATAGCTCTCTGATCTTTGGGTAACAGCTCGTCCAGATCTACAGGCACTGCAGAAAAATGTCAATTTGCTGTACAAGCAATTAAATGTACAGTATAGGAAAAGGCCAATTTTGTTATACAAGGACCACACACACTGTTTTTGCTGTAATATTTGATATCAAAGCAGAGACATCAGTTTTCCCTAAAACATAAATGAAATAGAGAACCCGGCTAAGGATCGCCCGCGTCTAATTCAGTGAGATCCATTACAGTTCACAGAGCTTGCTAATGCTCACAGGCCTCCTTTACTGGAAAGGGAAATCTTGTTGACTAGATAACACACTGTGACTTTTTAAATTTTATATATCTATTGAGCAGGGCAGGCATGATTTATAACCCTTAGCATAAACCTAAGTACAATGGGCAATGGACAATGTCTGACTCTTTGTTTTCACATCCCCAGTGAGTGTGGACCGTGGCAGGGCCCATCTTCTGCTTGATTTGCATATAGGAAATCTATGAGGACTTCAAATCACATGTTTCTTATACTTACACTGTCTCTCCTCAGACCAAACATTGCATCGGGAATGCAAGGCTAAATAAGAAATGGCCATTAGGGAAGCTGATCTGAGGCTTTAGGATGTAAGACAAGAAGACAGGGCACAATTTCTACAGCATATATATGCAGAGGGAAAGGAAACAATTCAGCATACACTAGAGCAAAAGAGGTCAGAGATGGTGAAACGTGAAGTCGCCCTTGAGCCAGGAGGGTTTCTTAGGTGGATTAGGTAGTTTGCTATTCCAGGAGGACAACTCGAAACAGTTCCAAGAGGGAGAGTTCAGAAGCGCTCACAGCGCCTGCTTTTCCTACAGCACATCTGTGCATGAAAAACAAGCCTGAAGAAGGAGTACATGCTGGTCAGGGCTCTGCACACTGTGACGGGATTTTGAACTTTATGCCACAGGGCAAGTTTTTACATGGTCCCAGAATACTTTGCTGATAAGATAATTAGAACAGTATGATCCTGGCACAGATAAAATAACTAGAACAGCACAATGCCTGTATAGAGATAGACAATGTAAGGAAACAATAGGATACGGAGAACAGCGTCGGGAGCCAAGATGCTGTGCATACAGATGTTTAATTGGAATGTAGTATCTCAACTAGCGAATAAATGATGGACTTTTCAGGTGATATGTGGACAATTGTTTAAAAGTGAAATCTAATGCCCATACACAAGACTGTAAAAAGAATTGTTGGATGAATTAAAAATGTCAATATAAAATACCAGAAAAAAGTTTATTATCTTGGGGTTGAGAATGTAACATTTGTTTTGTATTCTTTTAGTATGACAGTGCTATATAGCTCAAAGGAAAAATAAATACTACCACAAAATCATGATATGGAACACCCTAAACTCCAAAAAAATATTAACACATCACAGCTGTAAGATAAAAATCAAGTTAGGAAAAAATGCTTTTAATAATTGTAATAAAGAATTTGTATCTATAATATAATCTGTATTAACCTTCCACAAATCAATGATAATAAAAAGGGACTAACCCAACAGAAATGTGTAAAATATCCAACAGCTAATTCATGCAAGAAATGAGCCCTAATGATTTAAAGTGTGTTCAGTGCCAGTAATATTTAACGCAACTTCATTTCTTACTTATCAGATGGTAGACAGGAAATGCATGTTAGTGACACATTCCTTAAATGATAATTTATAACGTCCCATCTTGGGAGGATGAGAGGAAATGAGAATTCCTAAATATTAAGGGCACAAAGTCAGCACATACATATTAAGATCTATAAAATAGAAAGGACATAACACTGGGTCTTATCAGTTCATAGCTATACAAAATGTATAAGCATATAGATGAATATTTTGTTTATAATAGTGAAAATCATTTTATAAATATTCATTTTATAAACTACAGCACACATAAATAAGTTATTATGCTGGCATTTCAAGATATCCATGATAGAGTTTTTACTGAGCCAAGCGCGATGAAATCCGTAGCATCACCTGACAAATGAGGTATTGAATTCAATGGTCAGCGCCCTAGGCTTTCAGCCTAAGTAGACCTGGATTTGCATCCTAGCCCCAACACTTATTGCTCACCTCTTAAAGTCTTAGTTCCTTTAATTGTCCAGCTGGAAGGGAACCTACATATATATAATCTTAATATATCTATTACAATTTTATATATCGATTAAATTTTAATATATATGTATACATATTTTAATGTATGGATACACACACACACACACACACACATATATATACATTAAAGACACTTGCCAACAGTCCTGACAACCCAAGTTTAGTCCCTAGAACCTACACAGTGGAAAGAAAGAACCAACTTCCATAAGTTGTCCTCTGACCTCTACACACATGCTGTGGTTTGCGTGCACATGGCTGTGCATACACACTCAAAGTAGATCGCATCTTAACACAGAATGGCTAAGATCGAAAATAAAAAAACAACTGATGGCAAACATGGTGAGGATATGGTGAAAGGGAGGAAACTCCATTTTACTGCTGGTGCAGCCATGCTGGAAATGAGTGTGGAGAACTCTCATAAGTTAAAAATGTGTCTATCACAGGACACAGCTGTAGCGCTCCTTGTCATATTTCTAAAGGATTCAACATCCTACTATACAGACACTTGCTCGGCCATATTTGTTGCTGTTCTATTCACAATTGCTATAAAATGGAAAAACCTAAATGGAAATGCGCTCCACATAGAAATAAAATACTATTTAGCTATAAAAGGAACATGAAGTCATGGAACTTTCAGGTAAATGGACAAAACTAGAAAACAGTATTTTGAGTGGAAGTGACCCAGACCCAGAGAGAAAAGCCTGCTTTTCTTATTTGTGGTTCCTAGCTCCAATGGGTCCTGTGACTGAGGGGTCAGGTTCTTCTTGTCCTCACCACCTGGGAGTCTTTCTACCATGTCGTATAATCTGTGCCTCTGAGGTTTGTGTTTGACATTGTAAATTTTTTATTTGAAGATTTATTTCAGTTTGGGTTTCCTTTAGTGAGTCTATGTCTTTGTTAATTTCTGATTTCATGTCTTATTGTAATTATTTCATTCAACTCTTTGTGTTTTCACAGACTTCATTATGGGATTTATGTATATCTTCCTTAAAGCCCTTGACCATATTCCTAATGTCTACTTTTGAAGTCCTTGTCTTGTGTTTCAGATAAATTGCATTTCTCAGGGCCCATTGCAGTAAGGTTACTGGCTCCTAGAGGAGGATACTGTCTTGGCTGTTCATGCTGGCATCTTTGTGTGGGGACCCAAGCATCTGGACATAATGACATTAAGGTGTTTCTTGGGGTCGATATCTAGGCTTGTCTTTGTTGGGTGAGTGTTCTGTTCTTTGGTTACTGTTGCCTTATATGGATCCTAGGCAAGAGTAGTAGCTTTGGAGTCCTTCTGTAGGTCTGAGAGTGATAAGGTATTGGGGACGGGCCAGGAAGAAAGGCTGAGAGGGAGCACAGAGAAGAGCTAGGGAGACTGGGGTCAGCACCAGAAGGAAGAGTCTCCTGGGAATGAAGGTAGTGGATGGGGGAAGGGGCTCCTGCAAGCAGGCTTCTACAGGGCCAAGAGTAAGTCTGGAGAGATGGTAACAGAGGACAGGAAAGATAGTGAAATCATCTACCTGAGTCAAAGTCCAGGGTAAGCACCCAAGGGTCTCTGGTAGAAAGAGTTTCTGTGTGTGAATGGCCAACTCTAAGGGATGGAGACAGGCCAGAGAGGAAGGCTGAGAGGGCCCTTGATTATAGATTCTTAAACCTCTGTATAAACAAAAATGAATTTGGTTGTTATATTTAAGTCACAAAGTAAAATTAACTATTATGTTTAGATAATGCAATTAAGAAAACTGCATAGCCCTAGGAGCACACGTTACAAGTTGCCCTTATTGGTTACTAATATTCTCTGGAGTAGTTTCCACTATATATGTGCTTGGTTTTCATTCAAATTAGAAAAAAAAATATGACAACAAAGGAAGGCACACTTTTAGGAACATTTTCCTTAATAAGACTAAAGCAGGAAAGCAAACTATTGAAAACAAGACAATTTGTCAAGTAGAAATAGGTCAAAATGGGCGTATCGATATGCAGTCCATGCACAGCAAACATACATACCCCTCTGTTCGGAAGACCGTCCGAAAGCAGTCTCTTACGCTTTTGTAGCTTTGCGGGTCCATTACACTTCTCTGAACCTGCAACCTAGAAAGAAATCAAGTAACAACAGAAAGACACACATTAAAAATTTGGCCTTATGGCTGTTTTATTTTCAAAAGTTTTAGAGACAGTGTTTCCAGGGTGACTTAAAGTCTGTTCATCATTGCTATAGACTTTACTGATTTATTGTTCTTACATAGCTTTACCATATTACCTTCTTGCTGTTCCTTTTTACTTTAGGAGAGCCCATGTTCCTGTTTCTCAGCCAGGCAGAGACATCCTACGGTGTTTAGATTTTGTGTTTATGTGAAAAGCACACACAGATGCCATACATTGTCTTAATACATATTTCAGGAACCTGAAGACATGTATGAAAGGTATAGATAGTTGAAGCCTTAATTAATGTTCCTCAATGGCACATAATACAAAATTGAAAAGTACAGAGGAATCAATATGATACGAATTGGATTCTGAGTGTGAACTAATTCTGCCAGACAGGTACTTGAAGGCTTGCAATTGCATGTTGGGCTACAATTTACCACCTCAACTTCCCCATGAAACAAGGACTTTGCAGAAGCGCGCCGTTCTGCACTTGACTGTTGCTCAGGGAAGGTGTGCTCCTTTTCTGAAAGCTGTCATCTTTCACCTTCTGTTTTCGTGGTATAATCATTCATCTTCCACTGTAGTTCACCAAACGCAGCAGCACTGTGATGGTTTAGTTCTTCTTTGTGTTTGCCCTGGGGTTATTTCTAAAGATGTGATGATAAATATTCATTTTTAATGTGCCACTTTTAATCCATACTGTGGTTTATTTCATCTGTTTATCCTTCATTTTTAGCTTTTTCTACTAAAATCTGATCTAAGGTCATTCTCCCTCCTCTGCTTCCGGCCACAATTCTACCTATTTCCTTTTTCCCTCGTAGGTGCTTTTCAGAATTACCTCTGATATTACCCAGTTCAAAATATTTATCATATCCTTATCATTATGCTATCCGCAGCTCTTCTTGTGGGGATAATGTTCTCCGAATTTCTATTCCCTGGAGAGTTATGCTGAAAACCCAGACTCATGGCAAGTCAAAGTGGCTGCATCGCTCTGCTTGAACCCACAGCACAACTAAGGTAAAGCTGAGATTATCCTGGGTTTTACAAGGTGGAAAGTTGATAGCTTGGGGGATCAGGATGTCATCTATCCAGGGGTGTGTCAGCTGAATCTCCAGAAAAGTTCCTGGCACAAGCAAATCGCTAAACTAATAATATCATTGGCTGACTGGGTGGTTTAGGAGGCAGGACGTGGCATTGAGAACCATCGTAAAGGCAGAATGAACCTCCATATGAGGGCATAGTGCTTGCACAAAGGCAACAGGCATGCAATTAAAGGTGTGCAAATTTGGGGTGGTCTTTTTGTCTTTAATTCATTTTGGTTGATATTTTAAAATGTTCTCCTGCTCATCTTTAATACAGCAAGTAATACTCCACAACTATTGTTAAACTTTAAAATGTCGTATTCATAGTAACAGTGTGGGGCTTTTAGTCAAAGTTGCACCTACACTGGCATGGTCAGTTTCGAAGCTTAGTTCCTGAACAAGAACTACACTCTTAAATTTAAATTGTGCAGGGCTGTACAGATAGCTCAGCCAGTAAACCCTCTATTGTGAAATCATAAGGACCCACCTGGTCCCCACATGCAAAAGCCAGCCATGGTAATTCACACATGGAGAGGCGGAGGCAGAGGGATTCCTGTGGCTTACTGGCCGAGCAGTCTCACCTAGGTGGTGAGCCCAAAGCCAGTAAAAAGCCCTGTCTCCAAATATCTAGGTGGGCTGAACTTGGGGCATGACATCCAAGGTTGTCTCTCGTGTGTCTGTGGGGCACACGTGTTCCTGTGTACACAAGCGCTCCTGCATACAGAGGAATACATGAACACAGACATGGACACACATGCGCACACACACATTATTCAGAACTTATCAGCGGAGTGTGAAGTGTGACAGCTGGCTTACTGTTTCAGACGCAGAGGCACACCTGTATGGACACACCACCGGCTTGAAACACTCAGTAAGAGGTCTGTCTGGTACAAGAACAAGACTTGATGGTTTGGGCATTTCCAGACTGCAGCATGTAGATGAGATAACTTTGTATTTTAAAGTGATTTAACACTATACAGAAATGCAATAGGAGAATTATGGACGGTTTTGTACAACAAATAACTGTGTAGCATACAGACAAATTTCCAAAATATGACTTTTTTCTAGTCTAAATAAGCATGCCCATCTCTGCATCTGCACATTTGTAGCCCGTGTTCATTACTGATAATTAAGCATTTTCTCATTTTTTCTACCATATTTGTTTAATAAAGTTACTTAAAACACTTTCATTTACTGTAAAAGCATTACATGTGCATAGAAGTTTCTCATAATATCTGTAATAGTCTTTCATTAAATACATTTACCTCAGTCAAATTCTTTTTGAGGTGCTTTCTTTCTAATCTGCCAAGTCCTTTCTTAATGTGTGCCATGTAATATAGGATGTTACAGGTTTCACAGTGATCCAGCACATTACATTCACTTTTAAGAAGCGTGAAAAAGAAGGGCAAGAAAACTGAACTGAAACTTTAACAGTCTCTGCTAACCCCAGACACCTGAAATGTTAAGTAGCATGGGTTTTGGGTTGTCCAGGTGTTCCGGGCTGAGGGTGGAGTTACAGCTTTCAGTGAAGGCTCAGGAAGACAATCAGGAAGGGCAAGGGAGTTTGCATCGGTCCTCATGGGATTCACAAAGCAAACAGAGTGGAAAGCTGTCCGGGTGGGGGAAGGAACAGAGGCCACGGAGGGAAGCTGTGCTTCCTAATGGAGAAATGAGGGAGGCATTCCTCCACATGAGCAGCCAGCCTGGGTTTCCTCCAGGAAGACTGCATGACACTCTGCTTGCACATGTGGCTGGCTCAGGCTAGATACAGGCCTAACCAGGCTTACAGGAGGGTACCCAGGTGAGAAAGGTCCAAGCTCAGCAGAGGGTACTTATCTGTAGCTAAGTGCTTCAGCAGTCTGGGTGGCCTTCTTACAGATGCATGACCCTGCTTTCAGACAGTTCTGTGAGCCAGAAGGTGGACCAATGCAGGCTCATCCAAATCCAAGTCAACTTTAACCTTTCTTTAACAGTCGCGGTTCAGAAACTTCAGCTCTGCCGACAATATTAACAGTTTCAGATATTCCTCAGACTCCCACAAACACACACAGCTATCCTGGCTGTTAGAAGGTCAGGCACTCTACTGCCTAGATGAAATTCTTTTTTTTTTTTTCTCCAGGTAAAAAGGTAATAATTAGGGGCAGGGAGGAAATGTGGGAGGGAGGGTGGGATTGGGAGGGAATGAGGGAGCAGGATACAGATGAGATACAGAGTTAATAAAATGTAACTAATAATAAAAATCTAAGAAAAAGAAGAAGAAAAACAAAACAAAACAAAAGTAATAATTGCAACCCATTTAACATTGAATTAACGTGAGTTATTGAGCACTGTTATGCCATATGCACTGCACCCCTTGGGGGTGTAGTTCGACGTTTTAGACAGGGTTCTGAATTGTAGAAATGTGTGGTTAGGTGAAGGAGACAGGTAAGGCACTCATGTCTATGAATGGCGCATGCTAGCCCGTGATAGTGGCGCTGCTAGGCTGATACTGGAGGTGAACTTTCTGTGGGTTGACTGTTGCTGAGAAAACATAGTATTTTGCAAAACGTGAAAACAAGGAACGTATATCTTTGGACTAAAAATCTATGCTTGGATCGCACTAATTCTCAATCCCATTTCAGATCAGGCAGTTAAGCGGGGTTGGTGGGACGGTCAGGAAAGGTTCGTGCAGAAGCTGGTGGTCTATGAAGGCGGCAGACACAGAGGCTAAATCACACAGCAGCACTGCGGGAGCAGTCCAGAGGAGGGGAAGGACAGTGAACAGCAGCGCGCAGAGCCTCTTCCACTGTGGAAACAGAGGGCCAGACACAGCGACTTCCTACACGCGTCTCACAGTCGGCACAGTGATGCATGAGATGTTTAGCTGCAGCACATGTGACTTGCTCTGGCTGGAGAGTTATCAGTTCTTCCAAGGAAGCTGTTTCAAGTTGATATAATTACAGTGCATTGTGGTCAATCATGCAAACAGCAATTTCCTTCTTCCTTTCCGCTTTACATCAGTGTTTTCCAAGCTGCATTCTGTGCTAACAAATTCTCTTTATGTTTCAGGAGACAATTTTCCAGTCATGTAATACAACTCTAAAGTTGCAAAGACAAAGCCGCCTCTCTCTTGATTGTGTTGAGAAGAAAAACTTGGACCTCTCCATTGTCTTTATAAAAGTAGTTTGGTCGCATCTGGAATTTCCATCTGAGCAATTCCACTTAACAGAAAGAACAGTTGCTGCCAAAGACACAAACTGGACAATACGGTAACACCTGAGATCTTCATAGTGCCTGACATTCAGTCAGAATCAAACTCAGGGGGAAGGCACGGCTCAGACCCTTGGAGCTCTGCAAAGTAGCCAAGGCGAAAGTCAGCCATAGGGCCGGCCAGGGCAACAGTGTATGCACTTAGCAAGGGGAGTAATGGGTCATTCGCTCCACCAGAAATGCAAGCAAGCTGTGGTGGCCACCAGGGCCGGAATGGGCCTCTCAATTTCCACACACAGTCACACCTAACGCACGGCAGTGTATTGTTTTCGCAGACTCCAGCTTAACGTACCAGTTAGTTCCCACTACCTTAAACATCTGCCCGGCGACGCCCATCTTAAATTTGTCTGCATGGCAATGGGGAGATGCAATGCTTCAGCTTTTTAGCGTACTTCTGAGACATGGTCATAAGAGAGATGTCAGTGAGAAGTGAAGTAGCTTTGCTGCCTTCAAAGACTTAGGATGAAACTGTTTAAAAATGTCAAAATCTGTGCAAAGAATGTCAGGTTTCTACAGAACCTTATTTCCAAAGGATTAAACATTGCAGGATGTGTACATTATATATTTATATCTTTGTGTGAATGTATAGCATGTAACTGCCAATAGTTGGAC